AATTGATCAGAAAAACAAAGTAGAATACTCGATTCAACAAATCTGTTGCAGAATCAAATCACAACTGAAGATCTAGTAAGCTTTTTCACGTCAAAAGATGCGGAACTTTTTGAACCAGAATTTTGATGCAAAAACCTTTTGAAACAGAGTGAAAATTAGATCCCAGATCATGATTCCTGCTCTGATATCAATTGTTGAATCGTGGAATCAAGTATTAATCAATATCAGAGTAAAACAAATGCAGATTGAACAAACGATGTAAATAAGATCTGGTTTCTGCTCATTTATGCTTTCAACGTTTACAGAGAAAAATAGACAAGTTCTGTAAAGGACTCTTATCTAACTCTAGTAAAGTTCCATATTTATAGGAACAGTGAAAGCATACAAAAAATACTAAGACATTGATACTTAAGCTTCGTACGAAATACACCTTAGTAAATAAACTTAACAAACATACGAAGGGTACAAAAGACTTCGACATATTACAACTAAATTCGACCCTTACATGGTGTTCCAGATAAAAGCCATTAACACACTAAAACCATCACAAGCCATGATTGTAAGATTCACACCTCCCAACCCTAATCCTCAATCGCTAGGGTTTCTAAATAGAGCTCCAAAAAAAACCCAAACAACCTGTTCTTTAATCTGCGTGCTAACAATTTTGAGGAATTATAGGTGTATGGAGGGTCTATAGCTTCAGCGATTATATTGCCATCATCTCGAAAAGTGTGGGACTGGGGGTTAGTAGTTTCATTGGAAACAATGGCCTTTGTGGCAACTCTTTACTGAGTTGTGACAAAACCATCGAGTCAAGCCCGTCTTTGCCTTTCTTCAAGATAATCACAAAATGTCGGCTGCTAGTATCGGTGGAGGCATGGGCAACGACAAAGGCTTGGTCTAGCCAGAGAGAGAATAGAAGAAAGAGAAGTGCAGGCCGAGAAAAAATACACATGTGGTATATAGGTTATGAGGCGGGCCCCACTTTTGTTCTTAGATTACTTAAATATAAAAATAAATATAAAAATTTAAAAAACCACTTGGATGTATAGTAATGTTATTACCTATTAAATCTACAAATATGTTTTTTTAAAAAAATTATTTTCTTTATCCAAAAGAAAATGCAACGAGGCTTATTGCCCATTTATCAGTACATCTAAAAAAAAAATTTATTTATTTATTTAATGTAAGTTATTATTTTTTTTTTTATCAAAATAACACAGAATATCACGATTAATCACGAGATGAAATTTTGCAGCATATACGTCCAAAAGTCTCGAGTTCTACGCTCCCCGTTATTTCTCCAACCGCCTTTATCCCGTACCGGGTTCCTCTTCCGGTTTACAAAAATCACCGGTCTATTTCCACCTATAAATAACCCCCAAGTCTTCATCAATCTTATCCACAACACCAAACTAATCGCACAACAACAAACATAGTCAGATCAAATAGGAAGTTTTAGAAACAAAAATTATCTCAAGATGAGTTACTTGAACCGAGTCTGGATGACCGCCGGTGTCGCCGTCGTTAATGGCCACACGGATCAAGGCCGCAAACTGAAGTCAGGCATGAAATCCTTCCAGCAAGGTAAGAAGGCGTTTGGTTCCTCCGTCGGCGCTGATCACACGGAGCTTCGTCCATTTTCCAGCGTTTTAGTTTCCGACGTAGGAGTAATCTTCGCCGGAGATGAGACGAGGAAGCAGTCGGATGATTCTCTCCGACAGGTTATGTACATGAACTGCTGGGGACCGAGCTAAAACGATAAACCGGAGTTTGTGTCGGATTGGAGATCTGGGAGATTTTTTCGGTGTCGGAGGAATCGACGATGTGAGTTGACTCGGGATTATGGATGGATTAAAAATGACAATACCTTGAAAGATGAGGGCATCGGACTGTAATCTCATGAAAGTTGTGTAACTATGTAGATATTTTTTTGAACAACGAAAAGAAGTAGAGAACTATTAATAATAAACCTTTTTGGCGATATATATTTTGTTTATAGTTGAAATTAAGAAAGCCATATATATTTACTATATGAGACAAACAAGTTTTGGACTTGAGAAAATCATGAAAAAAATTAAAATAACTCTGTAAAATAAAATATAAAATAGACTTTCGGATTACTTGTCATCAAATATAAAGTTGCTTAATGATTTGATTGGGACTTGAACCATTAGATATGAATCAATTCTAGGTTTTAGATTTGATAAATTTGATAAATGATAAGTTGTCACAATCTTTGACATTTAGGTAAGTGTTTTAAGATATTCTGTTTACCCCTATTTGGATTTTTTGGTGTGCTGCTGTCTTGGTGACTCTGCTTTGAAGATTTCATTCTATTTATCGAGTTTGTTTGTTCTGGTGCTTTCTGCTTTCTTGGTTGCTTGTGGTAGAGCTCTTTTTATTTTAGTTTTTCTGACCATTTTACCCTTGTAGTTGGCTTTGTTTCCTTTTGTTTGTTCTCTTGTTCTCTTGTATTGTTTGTTGTACTCTTTTTCCAGCTTCCCACTGGAGTTATGTGTTTAACATTACATTTGCTGTTCAAAAAGACAAAATTAATTTGAATTTTGGATATTGGTTTTGTAATGAAGTTTGGTAGACTTCTAAGGACATTTTATTCGTGACTGATTGCAGGATCGATTATTTTATAGTGCAACTTAAATACCTAATTACTTCTCTTGTCCCATAATGATCTTTATTTGATAATTGAATTAACTTCTTCAATTATGGCGCATAAGTCATTAAGTTAGACTTCTTTTTTCTCTTTTTAAAGAGCTATTTACATATTTAGGTGCGTGTTTGTTTTAGCAGTAAAGATGTAGAGTTTATTCGTTAAATAATGTTTAAATCGTTAATCATAAATCGCTACATACCTGATCAATAATAAAAGAACATTTTTTTTATTAATTTGTGTCAAATTGATTATAAAGTTATTAGTATGCTGGAATTGGACATTCAACTTTTCGAATCTTATTAGTGTTGTAGTTGACCAACTACTTCAATGTCATATCTACCTTTTTACACAAGTCCAACCAACCCACATTTTACCATCGTCTTTTCCATTTTAAGAACCAAAAAATACACCCATAAACACATAAACACAAATATGGGGAAATTCCACTTCCAAGTACCACTATGCTCAATTGTACTCTTGTCTTACTCTTTTGTGCATTGCATCAATCAAGACCCTATAGCCGTACAAGATTGGTTCAAAGGTCTAGACACCATGCAAGAAAAGGTGACTAAACTTCACTTTTACTTCCATGACATAGTTAGTGGCAATAGCCCAACCGCTATGAGGGTGGCTAAGCCGACAGGCTACACTGGCTTAGTCAACACCCTCACAGGGTTTGGCAGTGTGGTCATGGCCGATGACATGCTTACCACTGGGCCAGAACCCAACTCAACTGTTGTGGGTCGGGCCCAGGGGTTCTATGCATCAGCCTCGATGGAAGATATTGGGTTTCTTATGACCATGAACTTGGCTTTTAGTGATGGAGATTTTAATGGCAGCTCTCTTAGCCTTTTGGGACGAAACCCAGTGTTGCATGAGTATCGTGAGATGCCGATTGTTGGTGGTTCCGGTGTTTTTAGGATGGCTCGGGGAATAGCGACTGCGAAAACGTATAAATTTAATTTGTTGGGTGATGCGGTTGTTGAATATAACGTTATTGTGGTTCATTATTGAGTTGAGATTGATATTGGCTTTGTTATATGTATGTAATGTGCAATTACGATATGAAAATTTGTTTAGATATACTTTTTTGCATTACAATTCGCGATCAAAGTTGGTTGCAAGTTGCAACATGGCATATAATGGTTTATGGATCTCAACATGAGAGCAATCTACACTCTGTTTTTTTTTTCTCGACTTATTTTTTCAATTGTAACTAAAATTTTCTATTGACAAATTTTTACTACTCATTATCTCCCAATGACCAATTACTAAGACCTAACAACGGTTTATCCCGTTCTATTTGCAGTATTCCCTTTTCCATCAAAGTCCTATTATTTAAATAAAATAAAATAAATTCCACCAACTTTAATTAATCAAACTTAACTCCCCATAAAAAAGGCAATTACTACAGCAAATTTACCAATTTTCCAACAATCATAACAATTAAGATTGAAGTACTAAAATAATAACATACTTTAAACATATTATCTCTCATTTTTTTCTCTCCATAAAGTTCTTAGTTTATACCGATGATCTAGCAAATTTATTACAGAATCTTGCATTTTTCGTGCCTTTTCCCATCAGTAAACTCGAACGGGCTTAAACCTTAGTCTCAAGAAACGGGTAATCGGTATACCCAATAACAGGATCCGACGTATAAAATGTCTCCCGGTTATACTTATTAAGCGGAGCCTTGAGCTCAAACCGTTTCGGCAGATCCGGATTCGCCAAAAACAAACGACCATAAGCAACAAGATCCGTCCGATTCTCCGCCACCGCCGTATTCCCGTCTTCCATCTCATACCCGCCGGCCGAAATAAACGTCCCCTTGAACGCTTTTCTCATCGGGACAAGACTATACTGACTTTCGATGGTTTTTCCTTCCGGTTTCCACCTTGGTTCCACCATATGACAATAGTTAATCCCATATTTATTCAGAGATTCCGCCATGTAAAGACCTAAAGCTTTCGGATTCGATTCCCTAGCGTCCATGAACTCTGCGAATGGGGATAGTCGGATCCCGACTCGGTCCGGTCCGATCTCGTTCACGATCGCCTCGACGATTTCAAGTGCGAATCGGCAGCGGTTTTGTAAGGAGCCGCCGTATTGGTCAGTCCGGTCGTTTAATTGGTCTTTCATGAATTGCTCGATTAGGTAACCATGAGCACCGGAGATCTCAACTCCATCAAAACCTATATGTTTTATAAAAGTAAGATATGATCTCAAGTCTCAACACTTGTTTATGCAGAACAACGTGGTTTTTTTTTCCCTAAATCCATATTCAACACTTTTTCAAATTATTATAAGTTTTAAACTTCTTTCAGTTAACCATTAATCTCCTTCTTCTTTTGTGTGTGTTATCTCATAGAATCGATAATTCTTACCAGCTTCAATTGCATTTCTTGCAGCAACTCTGAAATCATTAACAACAAGTGGAATCTCCTCTGTAGTTAGCTTCCTTGGAGATGAAAATTGTGCAACATCAATGCCATTGCTTCGTGGTTGAGGAAATAGTTTTTTGTCTGTGGAAGATATTGGGGCTTGCCCATTTGGCTGTAAATCTGCTCAATAGATGAAGAATTTAAAAGGTTGGTTAAAAGCATGTCGACTTAAAAGACAACTTAGTAACCATTGCAAATCTATATATCCAGGAATGGTAAATTGCACGAAATAGCCACTTACTTTTCTCTTTATACCAATAGGGGAAATGTACTTTTTATACCTCGTATTTTCAAAACAATCTCTTACAATGTTGTAACCAGGAGAAAAAAAAAAGTAGTATGCTATAACAAATTAATCAGTTAAAGTATGTTTCTGTTTCAAAGGGAGATGATGAATAGTATACCAGTGTTTGAAACCCTTCCACAATGCCAAATTTGACAGAAAAAGATTCCGCCTTTTGCATGAACAGCATCCACGATTGGTTTCCATGCCTCCACTTGTTCCTTTGTCCATATACCTGGTGCTTCTGCATACCTTAAACAACAACAAACACGTTTAGCAACAAAACTATTTCCTCCATCATCAGCAATCAATTTTTAATCGAGCATATATTGTCTGTCTAGTAGTCAAATGTCTTGAATATACTCTCCAATAATGACAAAATAAGAAAATCTTCTAAAGCAAAATCAATGGGAATAATAAGTAATAAAGATGACATCATGGACAAACATGTAATTTTTAAGTTTGAAGCTTGTCAAGAAAGTAATAATGATTTTCGTTGTCTTATTTATTATATACCCTTGGGCAGTGTCGGAAATTCCGGTGGATTCTGAAATAAGAAGGCCTCCTTTTGTTGTTCTTTGTGAATAATATAAGATTGCATGCGGCTGAGGGACATTCCCATAGGATCTTTGCCTTGTTAGAGGTGCCAATACAACTCTGTAACATACACAAAAGAAATAATGGATTCAGCCCAAAAAAAAAGTAATATAAATAGCACAAACAATAAGGGAAAGTCAATATAAACGAAACCAGTTCATAAATTATAAAAAGTACGCACCCCAAAAAGAAAGACAAATGAGAAAAGAGAAAAGCACCTGTGAGAAAGCTCAAATTTACCCATTTTGTAGGGGGTGAGAAGAGGGATCTTCCCTTCGTCCACTTGTTTTTCTCCTTCGTTATTGGCCATGATTTAAATAAATATCGATTTATATCAGAAGCTGGAATGAAATGGGATTTTTATAGGTGCCGAATCTAGTGAAGTTCAGGAGAGACGGAGAAATATTATAAATTTGACCCCTTAGCTTTCAGTATTTTTTATAAAGCACATTGATGTTTTGTATATTAAACAAAGACACTGAATAAGTGGGAGTTGGTATATTTTGTATTGGTTAAAGTGAGTAAGTCGCCAATAAATCAACAATCACAATAGTGAATTTATCAGTACACAAGACCTATAAACTTAATTACTACTATTTTCACATGTTATTTAGATATATATGGAAAAAACCCTTTTGTCATGAGGTAACAATCCATATGTGGGTTTTTAGGTTGTACATCATCTTTTTTAATCTGAAAACATTCTGATTTATATCTTTTTATTTTGGTAGTAAGACAGATTGAGAGGCACTCCAATCGTAATGCTTTCCCTCTTTTATAAAATTATTACATTTTTTATATTTGATCAATATTCAAAAAACCATATGCAATTTAACAAAATTAAAAAGGTAGATTTTCAGAAAAACCATTAGATTTTTAACTTTATCTAATAAACTATAACTATTTTTTTTAAAGTCGTTCAGGTTTATTGACGTTTTAGAAAAACCACTCATAATAAAAACATTTAAAAAAAAAAGTAAATTCTTTGACGGTTTGAAATTGTTTAGCATGTTTTTACAAGCTTACATGTAAATATAACTAACCTCAATTATGTTGGCGATCTCGACTCAACTTGGCTTCATTATGTAAATATAAATAAAAATAAAAGGTAAAAATGTAAATATAACCAGGAATCCAGGATCAATTAAATTTGTGAGCTTAGAGGCCTAGTGTTCCAATACTCGATCTTGACTCCATTGAGAAATGCATATTACAGAAAATGATTTTTATTTATGACATGCACAAGGAGTTAAAGATCCTGCACCAAAAGAATTTTTGAAAATGAAGTCAAAACTAATATTTTTGCTTATGTTTAATCTAGTAGTGTTGATGTTGGTGACGATTGTTTGCTTTGTTGCGCTTTTAAGTAAAAATTATAACAAACTTAGGTCATAAAAAACAAACCTAATGACATTGCTTCCTAAATCTTGTGTTTGAAAGTTTCAGGTTTGTCATGTTAGATGCCTAAGATTTGTCCATGTAAGCTTATAAAAAATGTTAACAAATTTCATCCAGTCAAAATTTTGTTTTTTTTAAAAAGTTTGTAATATGAATATTTTTTCAGAAAAAATTTATAAATACAAATTATTTTTCTAAAAAGGAAAATAATAAATTAATAGCTTTTCATATAACATAAAATATAATAACTTTTATACAACATTGCTCAATTAAAATAAGATTTTGATATTTTATATATTGTTATAAATAATTAGGTGTTGTAATTTCTTATATTAATAATAAAAATGAGTATTGAAAATGGCTTATAGCCTATCTTGACGAAAAAGGATTATTTGGCCAAATATTAAAAGTTCAAGTCTTATTGAAGACAACATGTACATATTTATAACGATGATAGTGTTGTTAGCAGTTTTAAAAAGTGGGTGTTGATATTAAACAAATTTATATTATATGTTCTTTCAGAAAAGAGCTTTTGAAAAAAATGTGCCTTATTTTTTTCTTATAATTTAAACTTAGTTAGGAAATACGATTTAATATTGATTTAAGTTGTTTTGAATTTAATATGCAAAATCAACATATTTTTTAAGTTGTTATGAATTTAATATGCAAAATCAACGAATTTTTTATTAGTTCATGAAAACTTATATATGTACTGCACACGAGTCGACAATTGTTTTTTATGAGATGAAATCATTTATTTTAAAATTCAAACAAATACTCAAATTATAAATTATTAATTGTAAGAAAAAATAAAATTGAATAGCATCAATGGGATTCCATTACGCAACTGATTACGTAATGACATGAGTGAAATATTTGTTCTTTTCCTCATATTTCATGTAGGAGACTCTAAGTTCCAAAACTAACACTTTGGCCACTTGACTTTACAACCGTTCTTAAAATTATGGTAAAATACAAAACTAGCCATTTTTCCTAATTACTTATCAAAAATTAGCCAAAAAAACACACTTAGCCAAAAATAGCCCACAAAAGAGTAGTCAACTTTTGGTTGACTACGGTCAACGCCCGTTGACTACTATTTTCTCCTAATGGGCTACTGTTTCAAAGGGCCGTTTACTTTTTCGTGGCCCATTAGCCCAAAGTATATAATGAAATTTTTTTCAGATTAGGTCATTTTCCTATTGTTTTCTTTTGTTTGACTACGTTTTTCTCTCAATGGAGCATCCGAAGAACAACCAGGTTTGTCTATTTTTCTTAAAATTTTTACCGTG